CTTTTTGTGACATATATACATATACATATATATATATATATATATATATATATATATATATATATTTCATCCTTATAATATATAGAATCCTTATGGTTTTTAGTTTCTAAAAATTATGCAAATTTTGATTTTGATTCTTATAAAATATTTTTCTTATTTCATCTTTTTAAAATTTAAAGTCACTATTTTTGTCCCTTAATATTCATTTTATGATAGATAAATAACATGTTTTAAGAATTTATAAAAAAAAAATTATGTGTGTCACATATTGACATGATATCAAATACAATTATAAGTGTCACTAGAAGTGGTCACTTGATTATATGATAAATACAAAAGTAGTTAAAAATAAACACATAATATTAAGGGTTAAAAGTAATAATTTCAATTTTAAAGAATTAAAAATAAAAATAAAAATTATAAGGATCAAAATTAAAAGCAACTCACTTTATATAGATTAAAAACATATTTAAATTTTTAAATTAATTAACTTCAAGTTGTAAATATGGTATATTTTTTGAGTAAAATGATAAAAAAGGAATGACATTCTCATTCTCATAACTACATGATAGAAAACTAATGATATGAATTGTATATATAATTTAATTTTTGTGTCTAAATTTTTATACAAATTATTATTACAAAATTAATACTTGACAAAAACAAAATGACAGCACATGATATTGTCTCAAATTTGTCGTAAAAAATCGTTGCTCCATGGGAAATGGGTCTTAATTAGATCTGTGTTTCTACACAAAGTTCTGATGTTAGATTTTGTTTTTTCGTTGAATTTTAAATACAAATCCAAAACTTGAAAGATTTATTTTTCATTGATATAAACAATCATGTGCATGAAATTCAGCACCTTATACCAAAAAGTTGAATTCTCATTCGCCAAAGATATTATATTGCTGTGCGACAAGTAGCACATATTCCTCATTCTCGTTTAGCCAATACATCAAGGACATATAGTAGATTCTACCGCTAATCAAACATTAAAAACTGATATATACAACCTCAAGCATTTCAGAGTGATCACTTAGGATATAAATAAATGTAGCATAGCATATGATCTATCGTGTTCCCTTTACAATTTTGAAGAACCCAAATTGCTTACTTATAACGGATGTCATTTCCCAAAATAGACAAGTCTGTATGGAATCTCTCTTTATTCTTCTAATCCTTTTGGCCACTATAAATTCCTTCAAAATCTCTCACTTCCCATACACCCTCATCACAAAGTTGTAGTGCATATTTCCCATTCTCTTTGCAAATTCATTGCATTCTATGTCTAGACTCATGGAACCACTTGCTGTGGGAAGAGTGATAGGGGAAGTGGTTGACATTTTCACCCCAAGTGTGAGAATGAATGTGACATATTCCACCAAGCAAGTTGCTAATGGCCATGAGTTAATGCCTTCTACTATCGTGGCCAAGCCACGCGTAGAGATTGGTGGTGATGACATGAGGACTGCTTATACCTTGGTAAATTAATCACTCATTCTTCCTAATTACGAGTCTATAAAAGTTAAAAATACTTTTCAAAACATATCTACTAAAAGAACTCCTATTATTATTTCTAGTAAAACAATTATCAAAAACTCTTCTAAATGTATAGTTAAATATACTGTATATATGTGTCTGTGTCTCTGCTTGTACTAACACTTGGTATATATCCTCTTCTCCCCAACTAACTTTCAGATCATGACAGACCCAGATGCTCCCAGTCCTAGTGATCCATATCTAAGGGAACATCTTCACTGGTTTGTATAATCTAACTCTATTGTCTATCTATATTCTTTGTACTATCAATTCCCTCATCAACTTCATTGATGCCAATTTTCCAGGATGGTTACAGATATCCCTGGCACCACAGATGTCTCTTTTGGTTAGTCTCTTTCTTACCCCCAACAATGTTGATTGTTATCCATATTTTTTAGTCTAAGGATAGTGTTTATTTTTAGATATACTTTTAACACTATAGTTTAATTTCTTTGCATTATCAGAAATAATTGTTGGTATGATTTTTAAAGTAATTAATATAAAAATCAACAAATTATTATATATGTTACTTTAGGATTGAATGAGAGGGTAAAAATCATTCGCTTTTAAAGACGCTTGTAGAAATGGACATTTATTAAGAATTTAACAATTTTTTTTACAGGAAAAGAGATTGTGGGCTATGAGAGTCCAAAGCCAGTGATAGGAATCCACAGATATGTATTCATCCTGTTCAAGCAGAGAGGAAGACAAACAGTGAGACCTCCATCTTCAAGAGACTATTTCAACACGAGGAGGTTCTCAGAGGAGAATGGCCTTGGCCTACCAGTTGCTGCTGTTTACTTCAATGCTCAAAGAGAGACTGCTGCAAGGAGGAGGTGATAATTTCTGAAGACGAAGAAAAAAGGGTTGAAGTAAATAAACTTAACTTGTTTCATCCTTAATTATCTTAATGAGATTTGTTTCCTTTGGTTTTCTTAGGGTTTGGCATGGTTGAATAAGGTGTACTGGATGAAATCTCTTCCTTTCTTCACTTTTTCTCTTCCTTTTTGTTTTTCCATTTTCTTTTGGAGTTCCCAAGGGGAGATATTCTTGGTGTACTTTGTACTTGTAGCTATTTTAGGTTATGAGAAGTTGGGGACCAAACTAGTGTTATTTTTCTTTTAAGGATCTATGATTTGTGATAGGAAAGAACATAGCTTTACCAAAGCTGTGTGGCTTCCTAGTAGGTGTCTGGTGTAATGGTTTGTGTGATGATATAATGAGAAGACGGAGAACATGTTATATGCATAACTGTTACTTTCTAACATTTACAGTGATGTCTGTCATTTTAATTTCTTCACAAACGAGTATTGCTATCACATGCATATCAATGATACTTTTAAAGTTTCGTTAAATATATCTAAGCATCAATGTCACAGAGCAAGTCCTTATTCACATATCACTTGGTGTGTATGTGTAGAAAAAATTGTCTAGCCCTTAAAAGTAGCTAGTTCATTAAACTACAATAGTATATTTCTGTTGCAGACAATGATGAAGTTAAATAACCCAGGATTAAAGTTTAAGGGATCATTTTTCTTCCAATGAAGCTTAAAGATATTAAAAAATCTTGACACCAAAGTATAAATAAAGGAGAAAAAAATTGTAGTCTTAATACAAAAGGACAAAAGTTGGTATATAAAAAGGTGAAGTATAAGCTTTTTTAAAAAAAATGTATGATTGCACTTCTATTTCCTGTGTTTTCAAGTATTCATTTTTCTTTTGGAAAAAGAAAAAGAAAATAAGATTCTAACACCACTTAATAAAAGTTGCATTTTCCACGATTTAATTTGTATTAACTGTTGTCTGCATCACACTGTATAATTTTAGAAAATCAGTGGGTGGACAATGTTAGATGACAATGCTGATGTACGAGTCTAGTTACATAAAAGTTTAGAAGAGTTTTTCTTTTTAAATATAGTGTTTTGACAAAAAATTTAAAAAATAATTTTTTAAAAAACTTGCTCACACTGTGCATAGTATATATGTTTGTGTTTCCGTTAGAAACGCAGCTGAACGTTAATTCACTAATTTTTCCTCACGTTACAGTGCACCGAACAGTGCTATTTAAACACAAACTTAACAATTGTAGTGATATAAACATTAATTTAGTAGTCATATAATAATTTTATAAATTAAAAATTATTACTAATATAACTTTTAAAAATAGTTATTATAAAAGTGGAGAAATTATAATATAAAACAATTTGTGATTATCAAGATTTCACCTTATATTAATTTAATTTAATTTAAAAATAAGTAAAATTTAGTTAAAGATTGAATTCTTTGTCCAACTTATTTTTTATTTAATCTTTTCTTCTCAATAAACATTAGAATTTTTTATCAGTTATCTATAACTATACATTATCACGAATATAAACATAACCAGAAATGAAGCATGAATATCATTGCTCAATTATTTGGTGGCGCCCCAATATTCTTCCACGCTTTGTCTGAAAGCTGAAAAGTGTGTATATTCTGTGCAAAACTATTGAAGAAACAAAAGTTTGGAAAGAGACAAGCAACACAGCAAAAACAACATGATAAAGGAAAGAGGCACGTGTCTCTTTCTCTATGGATGCAGACCTCAAACGTGGTAACATTGCATTAGTTAGATGTGATTGCCATCTACGTGAAACGCTCTTCTATTGCCGGACAAATAATCTTTCTGTGCATTTTCTTTCCCATCATTGATTTCTCCATGTCATTCTAGTGGGGCCATTGATAATGATGATGTGTAGGGTAGGAGTCATACTACAAGAAAATATGTTTTTCCTTCGAAAAGCGATAACACGTTTCGAACTTGTGCTCAAAGCAAAGTTACATGAAACAAGTTCAATTTTACCTTTGGGGTCAAGAGAATTTAATAAATGTTTATTGAAGAAATCTTTTTATTAACAAGAGATCCCGTGTATTTTCTGCATAAAACAATCTTATACAATATAGGATTATTACGAGATAAAATGTTTTCTTTTTAAAAAATATTTAACATACTTATATATCTAAATTCAAACTCTCAATATTACTAATTAAATTAGAACAATTTTTTATTAACTGATTCTCACATTTATACTATGAGAGAAATAATTTAAGAGGGATTTGAAGAGAGATGTGAATTAGAAGGGATTTAATAAAGGTGAATTAGAGGAGTATGTAATGAATAAAGTGAGTTTCATGGTTTCAAAGAGATTATTATGAAATTGTACCAGAGTCATTGAAAATTACATATATGATCTCCTATGCAAGTGACATATTCAACTATCAATATATCATATTCTAATATATTATTAGGCAAATACATTATTTAGGTACAAAATCATGTCATCATATTCCAATATGTATTGAAGCAAATGTAATATGTATATTTATAACATAAAGAAACGGTCAAGTAGCATAATTAATTATGCTACCATATTACATAATAATATATATATATATA